AGGGACAGAGAGACAAAAGGAAGGAGAGAGAGAGAAAAAGAGAGAACACAGGGCGGGAAAGCCACTCCCACCAGGTCTCATGGCCAGCAAGCCACTCCCACAAAGGAGGCCACACCCACAGAGTAGGTTCCAAAATGTTTTGAAACCCACCACTGCTCTCAGGGTACATACAAGGCAACAAGTGTTAAATCATGACAATAATCATAAGATACAATCATCATAAATCGTAAGATACAACCCTCAGTGATAGTCATAGGATACTAAATAAGCAATCGACACAAATCATACTAGGAGCCTAATTAAAACACTCAATATAAATCATAAGATACAAGCAACATAGTCATGATAAGAAAATAGGTAATAGGAAAGATGAGAAGGATAATAGCAAGGTAGCCCTAATAGGTAGTTTGACACTTTTGTGGGAATTAGCTGTTTAACAGAGCAATGGCATAGAGGAAAACAAATGTCCTTGTGTCTAGTTGTTTTGGCAATGCCCTATAACAGGGGTGTCAAACTCAAAGGCCTTAAATCCGGCTTCGGGGCCAGCCGGGGAATATCAAATGACCAGCTTGCGGTGCCTCTGCCACCGAAAACAGGCTGAAAACAGGCCAACACGTAACCCATTTTAGGCCTCCATGGCCTCCAGCAGCACTTAAAACAGGCTGTGCAGGGACCTCGGGAGCCCGTTTTCGGTTGGCAGAGTGCTGCAGGAGGCCACGGAGGGCGAAAACGAGGCACGGGGCATGCCCCACCATGCCCCTCTTTTAGCCAATAAAGAGCTATAGGAGGCATCCCAACGTGTTTCCCTGCCCTCCCGCTCTCTCCCATCCTGCCCGCTGGCCCGTGAAGAACCACAATAGTGATCCAACCCTGGAAGAAATCCTAGTTTTACACTCCTGCCCTGTTGCATCGTCTGGAGGGAAGAAGTTGCGACAGTTTATGTCCAGGATGCGAGGGGTCTGTAGATATTTGCACAGCCCTCTTTTTGACTTGTGCAGAATACGGGTCCTCAACGGAAGGCAGTAATTATTTTTCCTGCAGTTCTAATTATCCATTGGAGTCTGTGTCTGTCTTGTCTGGTTGCAGAGCCAAACCAGACAGTTATAGAGGTGCAGATGACAGACTCAATAATTCCTCTGTAGAACAGAATCAGCCTCTCCTTGGACAGTTTGAGCTTTCTGAATTGGAGCAGGAAGAACATTCTTTGTTATGCTTTTTTTGATGACGTTTGTGATGTTAGGTGTTCATTTTAAATGTTTTGTTCCTGGGCCTCTGGGAACAAGAAATCCTCCTTTTTTTCCTGTTAAACAAGGAAAAAAGATGACTGAAGCAATTCCCCTTATGATTAAACCCAATATAATTCATTCATTCATTGGTGTCTCTGGGAGAATCAAATCTTTCAGCTCAACTCTGTCCTTGGTGGGAATTTTTTTCTACCGATGCAGCATCGCCCCCTGGGGGCCATTATAAAAATGGTGCTTCTTTTTTATCACTTGATTTCCCAGAAAAGGCAGCCACCAAAGCACAGATCTTATTGGCTCCAGTCAGGGGATCAAACGCTCCCTGCCGCAAGGAGTTGGAAAGTACCGACATCCGAAGCCAGGGACCCTGTTGCTATCTTGGGTTT